CTTCAGATAGAAGAAGATGAAAATGGTGGGTCTACAAAAGGAGTGTCCGTGCTCTAGGATTCCGCGAAGATGTGGTCGATACAACCTCGACCAGGTCTGAAACCAGCCTGCTTCTCACGCGTACACCGTTCACGTATGGCAGACAAACGACGGAGCATGACACCAGCGAAACGCTTAGAGGCAATGTTGATTAAACTAATTCCTCTCTGATTTGCAGCAGGAGATACGTTACCTTTCTTATAAATCGGTATAATCACCGATTCACACCATTCGGTTGGAACCTCTTCCTACTCCCATACTGAACCCGGCAGTTTTGTTAACTCCAAAACTAAGACTAGACCTCCATCCTTAAACAGCGACGGGGACAACCCGTCGGGGACGGAAGCCTTGTGCCGGTTGAGGTAACTTATTTCCCGAGTAACCTCCATTTCAGATGGAGGACTGACGTCGACTGACAGTATTTGCACAGTTGAAGCGAGTAAGGGGAGGTCTTGTGTCGACGGGGGCCAGCTGAACTGTGCCTTAAAATGTTCAGCCCAACGTTCAAAACGGCGTTTCTGAATTTGAATCAGTGTGCCGTCAGACTCCTTAATTACCTCACATTTACTTTCCTTGGTCCCGTACTCCTAATTTAACGAAAAAGATCGCGACTATTACCGATGGCCACAGCCTTCTCAATTTATCTACACTTACCTACCCACCACTTCTGACGATCATTCCTCAAACTCTTGATGAGCTGGCGTTTAAACGTTTTGCGCGCTTTGTCGTATTTCGAATCCGAAGGAATGGCTTTGCAAGCGTCCAGCAGGGTAACTGAGGTCGGGGAAATCCATCATTTTTTATTTGATCGTGCACCAGAATTTGCCGTTGTTCTGCTCGACGTTTGGTACGCTTCCTTGATTGTCGTCCAGCGTTTACTGAATCCTTGGACTAATGGTTGAGCTGAGAGGCGATCTGATAGTTCCGCTTCGAAGGCCGATTTGCAACCGTCGCTGATACTGTATTCTGGGCATCCGTTTTCGGTGGCTATTCTGCAGTTGTTTATCAGGCGTAGGGAGAATCTCGCTCGTAGCGGAGCATATTCCGTGTCTACGGTTGTTGACCAGTAGGAGCGGCAGTCTTCAATCGATCCTCGCCAGCGGTGGCTGATGGCGATGTGATCGATTTGAGTGCATCGCTGTGAAGCGATTGGCGTTCTCCATGAAAGGCGTTACCTTTTTGTGCGAGACGTTCGAGATTGACAGAAGCTGTCCGTAGTCAAGTCAACGCGAGGTTGGAGTAGGCGTTCTCCGTTGCCAGTCCGGTTAGCAGGGGTTACATGTGAATCACCAAGTAGTCTTTCTGATTTGTCCAGGGATCCCACTTGAGCATTGAAGTCTCCGGCGATTACCACGATGTCTGTTGACCGAGCACTTCGGAGCAATTGAGAGAGGTTCTTTTATAATTCATCCTTCACTTCTAGCGAACTGCAATGAGTTGGTGCATGCGCGGATACGACGAATAAAAACTGGCGCCTCGTTCTGCAGCTATTGATCTGTACTGAACCATCCAGACGTACAGTGCGAAGTCGGCTGTTAACCGGGATCCAGTCAAGAAGTGAACGCTCGGCCTTGACACTCAGTGCAATCCCAAAACCAGCAACACCGCGAGCTTCGGATGCCGAATCGCGTAACACACGCAGAGCGAAGCGTGAGGATGAGGTTGGAACTGGAGAACGCAAGATGAATGAAGTAGGGTCTTGTCTGAATGTTTCGGAGACACAGTAAATGGGTTTCAAGGGTTTTAGATAAGACAGCTTGTTGACCGACCTGGTGGATCGTGCGGATATTCAATGCTTCTAAGTGAAAAGGAGATCTTTGGTTTTAAAAATCTGATAACCTTTGAGTGGTTGACCTTATCATCTGCCAATATTTGGGAGTGAGAGGAAGTAGTGAACAGATGAGAGAGGGTTTTCCAAATGGGTACCCAAGACGGCATGCTTTGCGGTAGCCCACCCTGACGGTGTTTTTTCTTTGGGAACTCTAACCGGAGCTTTTGACTCAAAATTCTGTCGCGCAAGGTAGCAGGGACCGGACTATCGTTAGACAGTATTACTCATTTTAATAGCTTAAATGCACCGCAAACTTTGTTCCGATGAGTTTCGCCATTCCTCATTATTCATGGACCACTTGGAGTAGTTAAATCAATCGTGATGTCATATTGCATCAGGCAATATTGAGGAGGACATCACTGAAATGGCGCGCACTCAACAGCAGGTCGGTACTTACGGTTATCCCCTGGTTCGATGTCATATCTACTCATTAGGATCCGAAAGCACAAGGAGATCAAGCCCAGTGCTCATCGACAAGCGCATTTCCCTAAATTAACATTACCTTTCGCCACCTCTTATATGGCTGAGAGGTAAGGGTTTCAACGCACATCCTGAAGGTTTGCAGTTTGAATTCCAAACGGGATACAAAATTTGTGCCTCCTGGGGATGAGTTCAAAAAAGAACGAGACAGTTGTTCTCTATCTTTATCCCGCATACCTTTTGCATCTTCAAAGTGTAAATTAGTGCTACAAGATTGGGTTGGTTCAATACCCACTCTCACTCTAGAACGGGAAGTAATAGAGCAGGTGAATAAGTTTTGTTACGTGGGCAGCTACATTTCATTCGGCGGACGAAGTACAGATAAAGTGTCGGGTCTTGTAAAGAAGGCCAACTTCAGACATCTGTAGCGCCATTTCGACATCTGGCTGTCTGTGAAGGGTCGAGTGTATGCCGCAACAGAGAGGCCAGTTCTGCTTTACGGAACAGAAACTTGACCACTGAGGAAAGAGGATAAAGGTAGCTTTTGTCGGTGTTCGAAAACCGCTGCATTGCACGAACCTGGTGGGGAAACCAGACAAGCAATGTTGAGATTAGGGGTAGAGTTTTGGATAATCATGGTCGCCCTCTGGATCAAGCGGTCGACCTCCACGGATTACGTTGGTTGGGGCATGTGTTACGCATGGTACCAGATGGGTTGCCACGGCGAGCACTGTTCGCTGAGGGAGGCGTTGAATGAAAAAAGCCCAAGGTGGTTAATCTAAGACCTGACATTAGGGTATCAAAACCCCAACCAGGGGACCAAGTCACATTATTCCCGTTAGACTCCCTAGCTAGGGACCTCGGAATGATCGTAATCGAAGGTTAGAGACAAAAGTGGTATGTCTGAGTGTCGAAAACAGTGGTATTCGTGTATCTTCTCAATTTCTTCGCCACTTTAGTTGACTGAAATTCGCCATTTTATATTCCACTCTACTTTCAACCTTACTGATTCTCCCTACTGCTCATCTAAATGGGCGGCCAAAAGACAGCAACCGAAACCGCCGCACGAAAGTGTATGGTTATTGGTAGTTTACTGAGCGATATGCGATGAATATCGCAAATAGGAGGCACCTGAGAATATCCGGGATTGAGAAGAAGGACTAGACAGAAGGGAAAGATGGTTTCCCAAATGGGTACCTAAGACTTTAGGGCACGACATACTTCGCGGCAGCTCACACCGGCGAAGGGGTTTCTATTTGGGAACCCTAACCGGAGCCTTTGACTCAAAAGTCTGACCCACAATGCAGTGAGGAGTAAATCCAACGCGGGAGCGTGAACGGAGCACCCATGTGGGAGCTTCTAGAGACCTGCCACGCAAGGCCTTTGACTTTCCATTCTGTGTTGTTCGCTGGTGCGTTGACTGTCGGTCCGCTTTTCGCGATCGGACCTCAGCCCCATGCACCCAATGAGACAAACGGAACGTGGACGGGACAGCACCTTATTGGCTGGGGGCTGCCCAGTTTGGGCGGGCGGTAGCTGTCAAGTGAAGTGCAAAGACTTCTCCCAGCGCCGAGAGAAAACCCCAGGCACCTCGCTCCTACGTCCATCTAGCGGGGACGTTTTGACTGGTAAACTGCCCCTCAAACGTGTTTATTTGCTGGAGTTACTTCTCCAAGGGCGGGTGTGGATGGAAGAAGGAAGCCAGGAGGTGCTCAAGCAGCTGGCTTTGTGAGACTGAGCTTCGTCTGGCCTCTACCCGTTGACCGTTGAGGCATGATTTGATCTACGGCTGTGAAAAGCCATCCTGTGCAGCTCGCAGGGTGTCGCGGACAGTGGCGCTCGTAAATCCACTCCTTATTCTCCTGTCACTATTCTATATGAATTCTCCACATTCCGCTTGAATTTGCTTTCAACAATCCAAT